CCAAGCAAAAGCACGCCAGGAACCACTTCAACTTGCCTTCCCTTGCTAGTCAACCCTCGGATAATTCGGGTTTCTGCTCTCTCTCCCTCTCCCTGCACCAACCCCGGGATTGGTCCATGTCTCGCCTTCCTCGAGGGGTTAATTCTCCACCCATCTGCTTCTGCTTCTGCTTCTGCTTCTGCTTCTGCTGCTGCTTCTGCCGCTGCTTCTGCTGCTGCTGATGCCGTATGAAAAAAGTGCCATTCCCACTCCTGCCATGCCATGCCTCTGTCCTTCACTCCTGAACCACTACCACTCCCCTTCACTCCACCACTACTACGGCACTCCCCTTCTTCAACTCTTGCATACCATAGCTTCCCACTCCCTCACTTCCTTGTGCCCACGCCTCCTCACTCCTCTCTCACTCCGTTCTTCACTCCTTCACTATTACAGCCCTCACTCACTCCCTCACTCCCTCACTCACTCCCTCACTCCCTCACTCACTCCCTCACTCACTCCCTCTCTGCCTCTTCCTGTGCACCATGCCACACTCTAATGATAACCTAACAATTCTATTCCTTCCACCCCACATATTCTCACTTTTGCATACCTGCAATTCCACTTAACCTCGTCCTCTTCTTGCATAACCTCACTCCCTCTCGGCAAACCTGGCGTGCTCCATTTGCCAAAAATGTACTCCTGCTGGGATGCTGACTGCTGCTGACGTGGCTGCTGCTTGTCATTGGGCTGGGACCTTCAGCTTCTGCAGGGCCCCTTTAGAAGCACGCAGCTTGCTGTCGCGCATGGCAAGTACCTTAGGGTTGCTGCTGCTGCTGGAGGAACCGCTGGGACTGCTGGGGCTGCTGCACCCTTTCTCATCTCTAAAACCCACCACTCTGCTTCTTGTTGCTGCTGGTCTGCCCCCGTTATAATCAGTAGCTACATCTGCTGCTGCTGCTGATGATGATGATGATGTTGATGCGGATGGTGGGCGGATCTTATCCAAACCGATTTCAGATGGAGTATCTAATGAGGCTCTGCGGCTGGAAGGAGCAGAGGCAGCTTGAAACGAGCGAGTGGAGAAGTTACTAGGGGATCGGGTGGGGGAGCGGTTGGGAGTGCGGTTGGGGGTACTCTTCTTAGCTCCTTTAAAGCACTGTACTGTAGCAACTGCAGGACTATCGAGATTGAGGAACACGTTATCCTCACTAGCGAGGTCTCCATACAAGTCTTCATCTTTTCCCATGTATGAAGAACCCATAGACTGTGGACTGTAGCTATCTGTCTGTTGTAGATGGTGATCTTGACTGTTGTGGGTGTGCTTATGGTGAAGCCCGTTTGTCACTTTCATGCTCATGGCTTTTTTCATCCACGCTGCCCGCTGCGGCTGACGCGCTTTCAGAATCTCCTTTTGATTGGCCGATTCCAACCCAGTCCCGTTACCATTATCCTCCACGAAATACAAATCTTCGTCCGCCGTTTCGCTAGCGCTGCTGACGTCGTTTCTACCGTCGCCATGGTGCGTGTGGCGACGAGTAAAGGGGGCGTAAGGCGGGAGATCGCCGTCCCCCTTTCCGCTCCCCCCAGACACCACTCGCGCACCCCCAAGTTGCGCTGAAGTGCGGCTGCGCGTGAACAATCCCCTCCCGCCTTCCCCCTTCCCTGCGACTTCCGCCCCGCCTCCCCCTCTCGAAATTCTCCCCCATCCGCTACCCCTCGCGTCATCGCAACCGTCCGATTCCCGCCAGTCCAAACTCGTCGACTCTGATCGCTGCACGGCTCCGCCCTTGCTGCTGCTGCGCCTAAACCACGACCCCCCGCCTCTGCCGCTGCTGCTCCCATCGTCCCCCGTATTTCTCTTCTCTATCATGCTCACGCTTTTGATCATCCCTCGAGACGATTTGCTTTTCGACAGAACCGTCGAGCTTCGGACTAGCGCTGACTTGGTTACAGATCTACTTAATCCCGCCGACGCCGGGCCGTCCTCCCCGGAGAATTGCTCCACGCTGTGAACTCGTCGCACGGGGGGGGACGCGGGAGGGAGACCCGCCCGTCTGATAGTGTTCCCGTTTCCGCCGCTTCCGCCGCCGAACCCGCTGCTTGGGGACTGCTGCGGGTAGGGGGATAGCGAATCGGCGTCGCTGCCTCCGTAGCCGGTGCTTGTGCGCGGGCTGTCCAATCCACCGAAGCTGTCGTTGCCGAAGCTGCTAGAGCTGTCGCCGTAGCCGCCGCTTCGGTAAAACTCGCCGCCGCCGACGGTCCTCGCGCGGCCGAATTCCTGCGCGTTGTACTTTCGCGCAGATCCCCTGTGCGAGAACGACGCGGATTTCGCGGCGGAAATTACGCACGTCTCCGCCGGCTTCGCGACGAGCTCGAGGACGCGCGACGGCGCGACGGCGGGACTCCCGGGACGCGCGCCGAGAGAGGCCCGTGGATCGAGGCGTTTGAAGGTCGCGCCGCGGTTGAGGCGCGTCGGCTTGCGGAGAGTCGGGAAGATTAGCTTCCAGACGCGGTGCGCGTCGATTAAGACCGTGTCCGCGTCCTTGCCCTCCTGAAGATCCCAATCTGGGGGAGGACGGGGTGGGGGGAGGGGAGGGGGGAGAGGGGAGGGGGGAGAGGGGAAGGGGGGGGGAAGGGGTTACGACTCAAAAGCTTTGACGCGATGCGCGTCAATTAAGACCGTGTCCGCATCCTTGTCCTCCTGGAGGTCCCAGTCTGGGGCGGCAGCGTGGGGAAGAGGGGAGGGGGGGGGGGGGGGGGGGGGAGAAGGGGAGGCTGGGGTAAGGAAGCGTGGACACGTGGAGGTCAGCAAAATAGAAACGGCCAACTGAATTTACCATCGACTCTATTGGCGAAGCCGCATCTGACGGCCCACGGCTCCACCTCCTCTTGCAGCTCCTCCCGCCCCGCGATCTGATTATAAATCGGCTCAAAACGTGTGGTGTGACATAGTAACGAGGTGACTTCTTAGCCGGCTCAAAATGTGTGGTGTGACATAGTAACGAGGTGACTTCTTAGCCGGCTCAAAATGTGTGGTGTGACATAGTAACGAGGTGACTCCTGAGTCGACCCAAAAAGCACGCCTACCATCGACTCTATTAGCGAAGCCGCATTTGACGGCCCACCGCTCCACCTCCTCTTGCAACTCCTCCCGCTCCGCGATCTGGCCCTCCCCAATCGTCGCCACTCCAAACCCGTTATAACCACTCGCTTCCGGAATCATTAACGGATCATCCGCAGCGATCACAATCAGCCTGTAAGAAACCTCCGACCCGCCCATATTAGGCCGCTGCACCGGCAGCGCCGCTAGCGGGATCACGCCGTATATATCCCCGACCTCGCGCGCCGCCGAGCCTATCTCGATTGCTTGTATCGGAGCATAGTCGAACAGCGACGAAAACCCGTCCGAAGAGCCGCCGCCGCCGCCGCCGCCGGCGGCATTCCCGCTTGCTGTGTCAATAGCACTTAGCGGCGCGCTATTAGCACCGCTGCTGCTTCCCCCCGCGCCGCCGTCCGCGTCGCCCGCGGCTCCGCACGCGAGCACGCATGTCTGCGGGATAACGCCCATGTTCCACGGCAGGTCCTCGTTTTCGTCGAACTCCGTCGCGCCGCTCAGCAGCAGCCGCCGCCGCCGCGTGCGGAACGCGGAGTTGCTCGGCTTTTTCGTCCCCCCGGCGGCGGCATTGGCGGCTTCCGTGGAGCGCGTGCGCGTGCAGATGAAAATGCAGAGGTTGTCGGGCGGCGGGGGGTTAGTGGAGAAGGAGGAGGTGTAGCTGGGGATTACGTCGCCGTATGAGCTGTCGGGGGAAGTGGCGGAGGGGCCGGCGGAAGAGGCGGAAGAGGAGGGCGGCGGAAAGAGAAGGATATCGTGCCATAGGGCTTTGACGGTGCCGTCAGCTATTAGCGGCAGGATATTGCCGGAAGCGGTGGCCATTGCGCGACCGCGCGTCTGTTTGACTCAGCACAATTTTCTACGCTTTAGGTTTTAGGGAGGAGCGACGATTCCCAGAAAACTTCCAACCAAGGTTAGGTAAGATGCGTCACCTTTCAAAGATGTAACACGCGGGTCGTGGCGAATGGTGACGGTAATGGACGAATCCTAAGTTTCGACTAGAAGTAATGCGAGCACGTAGGTCTTGGAATGGCTGCCTAGCTAGCAACCTTGTAAGATGACGTGCACGAATGGAAATGAAGGCGGGAGGGTACAAAGGTACATATATGTACATTGTACACACACACACCCTCCCATATACACCATAAACCTCGTTATGGAAAAAATACGTAGGATAAAAGCTCACGTAGCGTCAATGACAACATCGGCTTCTTATCAAATTGCCTCCGCGTAATTTCAGAGTGCCCTGTACCGGATGTGGCTTTTTCCCAAGCATCAAAAGTCGGAAACGGGTAGAATCATCCCCGTTTCTCAAGCCCCGAAAACCAAATTTGCAAATAAACAATCCACGAGATGGAAAGCTCGCGCGCGTGCGCGATGGTTTGCATTTCCATTTTGTAACCCTCAACGCAGCGTTTGTCGTTCGGCTTCCGGGTACACCCCGAAACTTGTTTTGGGGTGTAGGGAAATACCAACAACGGTGCGCCCCATGGGCAGTCATGTATTGTCAAATTTCGTTAAAAACAAACGCAGCCGCCCTGAAAAACACATTTAACCATAACGAGTTTAGAGTGTATATTTACAGACGAGATGAACCACACGAGATTAACCAAACCAGAGGATCGAATCGAAGGACAGAACAGGCAAAATTGCTCAGGCGAGGTGGAGGTTGGGCGAGGTACTGTAGCCAACAAAATCGTTGAACCCCACGCGTATGCGCGGAAATTCCCTGATTTTCTGGGCGATCTACTCTGGAAGCCTGTGTAGATTTTCCTGGCTTTTCTGGGCACTGTCAGGAAATGCACCTGAGCAGGGGTGGCCTTTTGGTTCAGGAAAAGGCTTGCAACTTGAATCGGCCCATCACCATTCGCTGACATTTGAAACGCTTTTCTGATACGATTTACCGCCTTTGATGATACTCGATGACCCTCTTCGTTATTGAACGGGGTCCTTGTACCGTGTCGTCGAGAAGTGATGCTTAGCCCCAAAGCTTGACATGAGGTTCGACAATGCCCGCGCTGCGTCTTTCTCCTCGTCATACTTACGGATGTTTGGGGCTGGATATGGATGAAGAGCGCCCGCTTCCCCGCGTAACAAGATCTAACATTACACTTTCTCTACTCTTCACTCTAACGAATTAACGAAGGCTGATCCTACTGTGGAGTATGCGTTTTTCTGGTTACTTGGGGCAAAATGGACTGTAGAGGTCATTTGTACAAAGCCCCGAGCCTCCGGACTGTGAGGCATAGGGTGTCTTTTGCACAACAGTAGCCTCGAATTGTCAGCACGGCGGGCGTTCGATTGGTTCATTTTGTATACAGGTCAATATTCACTAACTGTTTCGGATGACGTGGACAGTAAGCCCACTCATTCTGCCTGGCGATTCGCGTTACACGGAGTGCAGCGCTATAGAGTGTTTGCTTAAACTGGTGTACGGTACTGTTGGAAACAGCTCCAGCCAAACTGGTCGCAAGGACGATTTCGTCTGATAGAACTCAGCAAGGAGCAAGAGCACCCTCCATGAACAGTGATGAAGTTTCATGTGTACAGTAGAATGAGAACCGTGTGAGAGCAGGCCTCTCGATGTCCTCTAAGGCCCCCCTGCAGAATCCGAGTTTGTCGCGCAACCAACTCGTCCAAGCTGGGTAGCCCAAAAAATGTTGACTGTTTTTGCAAGGCAGTTTCGGCGGTTTCCCTGCATGTGCAGGGTTTCAAGGTCGCGTTCACTTCTTTGAAGTGCACTGAACTTTTCCTTTCACCAATTTTATCTACAAGTGCTGAATGTTATTATAAGCCAAATTGTGCTAAAAAAAACCCAAACGATTGACTACAAGTGCAACCGCCACTTCAATTGATTGCCTACTACAAAAAAAAATACGCCATACCCACAGGTACAAATGCCCCACTTATATGAAGCACAGAGGCGTGGTCCAGGAAAACACGTTTTCCCCAACCAAACCTCTTTGGGGAAGCGAGTTTGGCTGAGAGAGGCTTCATTGGAAGGAACGAGTTTGGCTGAGGGGCTCAGTTGGGGGGAGTGAGTTTGGTTCAGAGAGGCCTGTTTGGGGGAAATGAGTTTGGTTCAGAGAGGCTTGGTTGGGGGTAAAGAGTTTGAGTTTGAGAGGCTTGGTTGGGGAAGCTGCAACATCCAATCAGGGTCTGGCGCGCTTGCCGAAAACCCAAACGGGCCACCTGGGATTTCGGGAGCGGTTTTCCCCGAATCCCTCAACGGAGAAGAGGGGTTTCTAGCTGGGTAACCAGGCCTTACAGACGGATGTTACAGGGTGATACATTCCACTACTCGGAAATCGGACGTGGAATGTTGTTGCCTAGTCTGCTAGTGGACGTGTACTTCAAATCTGGATGCGTAGAAATCAGGGTAGTACTAAACAATCACCCTGTTTTCCTTGAGTAAGCAGGGTAATTCCCTGGCTATCGAGAGGGCTGTGTGAGAGTCGCACCTCTGTCAATTTGGAAAACAGTACAAACAAGTTGACAAACAAAGATTTGCGAGGAGAACCTGCTCTGCTCTCACCTCGTGCTGCAAAAGTTTTCGAGTTCACATCAGGGGTTCAATTTAACAGAGCCAACTTTCCTGTGCTACAAGGGCTTTTCGTACTGATTTGCAGTTGCGTACGCCGGAAGAAGGAAGCCACTCGAAGTCATCAGATTGTGGCCATTGTAAGTCGACTGTTTTCCACGTTCATTTTGCTCTGCTCCCCAAGCCGTGTGCACGATTAATTCGATTAACAGAGGTCCTCACTAGGTTGTCTCGTGTCTGTACGATTAATTCGAGCAGAGAGAGGAATAATAGTTTCCTGATATAACGTGGTTTCCCTCTCTATCCGCACGCCCTTGTCTTGTCCCTCTCCAGAATTCTTTGCCCAGATCGTACGAAGGTTCGGATTTCACTAGACGACAAATCCCCAAGCCATGGAAATGTGTGGCAAAACTGTGCAGCAGAAGTGTAGCAAATTCTTTCTAATAATTTGAGAGGTGTAAGTGTTGTGTAATTAATGGAACTGCTGAGTAGCACGGAGGGCAATGGCGAAAAAGTGAACGAGTGAATGATAATAAAACAGCACAATATATCGGAAACCTAAGCTAATCTTGGACATAGGATGAGAAATTTCGGGAAAAGAAACGAAGGACCTCAATGTGTCGCAGCGAGGTCCGGAAAGGCTTAGGTGGCTCAAACTGAAAGGTCTGGAACCGTGGCGATGGTTTAGGACTGTTCGAGTCGTACGCCCTGTAGCAAGCCTCATTCAGTCATGTTAATTTGAGATGAGCCCAATCGGTAGGTGATGTCAAAAGTGAGATGGCATCCTAATATTTGTAAGATTCTAAACAGTTAGAGAATGCAATGTATCATTCAATGTAAGTAAAAAACGAGCTGCCCCCCTCTGTTATGGTAGTGCCTGGATGGGAATTGAGTTATGCAACAGATAATAGTGATTAAAATGGTACAAATGAAGCACATGGCTAAATACAAGCACGATTGGCCCAGCGAGGACCCTCGTGATTTAGCCAAGAAACCCCCGTGAGGTGATTCGAGCACCTCGGGACTCGGAAGTGTCGGACCAGACGCGACTCCGGGTGTAGACTTGGGGAGTCCTCGGGCTGTTTCGGGCTTCCGAGGTTAAGGGTGTACGCGGCGTAGCGAGGCTTCGCTAAGGAAATGGAAGTTCCTTACACATTCCCGACTCCTAGACGATACTGCGTACATTTGGGGCAAACCGGTGGTCTTCGAGTATGGTTGCCGCAATCCACATGTCGTCATCACTATATCGGTCAACCCAGTAGAAAAAACAAAATGTGTTGTTATCCTTGGTGAAGTCAGATTCGATGGGAGAGGATCTGTCTGGGCTTAATAGTGGGCTCGGGGACTGATTTGATAACATGGTAGATGCGAGGTCGGTCAAGATCAGACGCGTTTGATACGAAGTGGCGGAGGCTGACGTGGAATGAATCGTGAATACGTCAGATATCAGGTAGCAGTAACTTTGCAGTGACAGGTATTACCATCCGAATAGCTGGGAAGGGTCCACAGAATCTCAAGAAAAGTTTGTTGGGCACACTTTACCATAAATTCTTGGTGTCAAGTAGCACTTATCCGGGGACATGGATACTGTAAATCCTGCCTATGCCTATCAGCATACCGTTCGCTAGTGATGTTGGCTTTCAAAATACCTATGTAGCATTTTTATTATACTGTCAATAAATCTCATACGAATTGTTGTATCCGTAGGGCGGGATTCTCAACTACGGGGGGGAAGTAGGAATAGTAGGGTTAAGACCGTAGCTCAGATAAAATAAGGATTGGCCAGTAGTAGACAGAACATTAATATATGCAAATTTGATTAGTAGAACAAAGTCTTCCCACCGGCTCGGGTCTGTACAAGTTGTCCGAAACATATGTTCTATGGTCTGATTTCGTTTTGACTTACTGTCGGTCTCTAGTTGGTATGCGGTGGACAGTTGGAGACGTGTACCGTATTGTTCCCATATTTTTGTCCAGAAGTTGTGTAATACGGTACATTATCGCCCCTTATGTGGAGATGACGTGCCCCAAGAATTCCAACTCCCGTTTAAGAAAATCGCATTTAGGTAAATACTGCTTCCAGGTCCTTCAAATGCTGCTGCTGGATCTTGCTGTACACAAGAATATCATCACGATGCAATAAATGATGACGCACTTTTCGAGTGGCGGAAGACATCGTTCATGGTCAGTTGAAATGTGGAGGGCAAGTTCTTCGACTCAAATGACATAACTGTATACTCGTAAGTGCCATACCAAATTTGAAACGCGGTCTTCGCAATATCTGCTTCAACGATACGGATTTGATAGCAACCACCTCGCATATCAATCTCCGAGAAGATCTTGGCCCGAGAAAGTTGGTTGGTGAGATTGTCGCCTTGTTGGATAGGGTAACGAGACTTGATTGTAACATTATTGAGGGCATCGCAGTCGGTGCACATGCGAAGACTTTTGTCCTTCTTCGGCCTGAAAAGAATGGGTACTGCAAATGGTGATGATTTGATTTCTCGATGAGGAAATCGACATGGCTCCTCAACTCTTCCAATTCCGGATGACCCAGCTTCCATTGGGATCCAACGGTCAGTTGTGCTATAGGCTCCAGTTCGATGGTGTGACCGTGCGGTCGTTCTGGCGGGAGGCCGGGCGAGAGATAATCGGGGAATTTGTTCGTACACTTGTCAGGTCCTCAGGTACTGCTACAGATAGTTTGTCAAGGTCGGTGGCGGGTTCCACAACCGTTAATGCGATCCATTGGGCAGCGAGCACGTCATTTTTTCGGGCCATTATACGCTTGATCGTAACTTTGTTCACTGTAGTAGATTTGGGATTGGGTGGTTTTCATCTCGACATGCATCATCATTTCCCGCCCCACTTTAGGCAAATGTCGTCTGTCCTCCAATAGATGCTTGAATTGTAGTCGCGAAACCAATTCCGCCCCAGGAGCACATTACGACCATCCAATATCGTCGCGGACATCTGTACGATGAAACTGACTTGGCTGTCGCAGTCAATTCGCATAAGCCCGGGTTGAATTGGTGTGCCATCAACCGACCTTGTGTCGATCTCTGGCATTTAGCGCTCTATTTGCAGTTGTACCGTAATCCCCCGGATATAACACCCGCCGAAATTAAGCACCCCCTGGTGCTATATCCGGGGAGGGTGTTCTATTGAAGAATCCGCAATTATACACCCTCTTTTTTAGGGTTCCAGGAGAGCACCCCCCCCATTATATTCAAACCCTTCTACGCCTAACAATACCACCAACAAATGCAGTTTTTTCACGCTATTTCATGCTGATTACGACCGGGACGCAAAAGTTGAAAATTTCCGAGGCACTTGACAGGGTTCTCTGGTACTGAAAATGACAAAGTGAAACAAATATTCACCTGGAAAAGCGCAGTGGGCCGATAATTTTTGTTTCTATTGTGCGACAGACCTGTGCTGATTGGCTGATGAGCGTCGCAATTTTCGTCCAGTCCATTGCGAGTGTCGCCAACCCCCCAACCTTGCTTCACTAACCTGACACAAACCTGAAATTCGTGAGCAATGGGCAATCCGGGGCTATTCCGAACCTCGAGAAAACATACGCCTTTTCCGCCGGAATTTGAATGTCTAAAATCGCCATGATGCACTGAGTCTAATGCACATCTTAAAAATTCTGTCCTCAAATATAACACCAGGGTGCTATAGCCTAAACGCGAAATAGAGCACCCACCCCCCTGATTTTGCATGAATTTTGTACTATACCCGGTGTGTTATATCCGGGGGATTACGGTAACTGCTTCGCATTGGTCGCATAAAACAGGCTATATGATGCTCCTCCATCAATGATTATTTTTAACTTGGTGTTTCCAATGTGCCCTTCCAACACCATAGGACAGTCAGCAGAATGGCTGATCGCATAGATCGGCACTAGGACTCGGCGAGAATGGTCATCTTTGAGCGACGAAGCCGTGTGAATAAGTGGCCCAACTGCTACTGACCCTAACCATTCCCCGACTTCCTTCCGTCGTTAGCTACCGATTCTTGCAACTATAGCAGTCCTATTTGAGGTGGCCCGGCTGGTTGCAATGAATATACCGACCCCAATTTCTCTAGTCTGATGGTGCTGCCATACTGTTGATGGATGGGTTGGTGGTCTGTGGCGTAAACAACTCCAAATTGACACTTGTGTCATTAACTCCAGCATCAATACAGGCTTGATCTCCATGACCACCCGTCGCTCACTCGTACTGACACCACGCGTCACTGATGTCGTCCGGAGTAGTTGTGTGCTCGCATGGTCTTCGTCGGCTGTAACATGCGAATCTTGACGCGCTTCTTCATTCGTCTCGCAAAGGCTTACGGTTTCGTCCTTCAGCATGGCGATCTCCAAGGTCATCATCTTTGCCAGCAAGTCTGCGAATCTTGTAGTCAGGATTGACGTGTTTGCTATCGCCTCCAAAAGCCCGTCGTATTCTTCGGCGTTGAGGATTACCAATCAGAGATTACCCTAGGTAGCGAACGCCACTAATGACACTACGATCACCTGCACACTTAAGGACGTGGAGCGCATACAACAAAGTCGGATGAACTAAATAAGTCCCCACACGACCTATGGACAGCTCGTGTTTCCTAACGTGCTAGGCCCCTCTAACATCTACTCCTCTATGGAAGACTATGCGGACAGGAAAGTAGCTCTGATACCAATTGATAAAAACTACCAACCGACAAGCACAACTAGCCTAGCGAGGCCCCTCGAGGCTGGGCCACGAAACCCTCGCGAGGTGGTCCGGGCGCCTCAGGACTTGGAAATGTCGGATGCGACTCCTTGTGTTAGGGCCGAGAGTGGACTTCCGAAGTTCAGGGTGTATGCGGTGTAGCGAGGATTCGTTAAGGTGGAATTTCCTTACTTACAACCCCACCCTCCATCCCCCACCCCCATCCCCCACCCACACCCTTACCCCCCCTCTTCCCGTTACATTTCTTCTCCTATTGGGTCCCACGATTTTTTCACACGGCTCGAGCCTGCAAGCAAGAAACGGTCAAACCCGGGCAAACGGGACATTGAAGCGGAAAACCCACAATAAACACCCTCACTTGGTTACAATGTCTCGCTCATGTGCTACATAATTTGCCTGCGCGACCTTCCAGCTCGGATTCTCGCAATGAAATACGACTTGACTCATCGTTGCTGTTCAGACTGCAGCCAAACAGGTTCAGTGTCAACGCGAGTCATGCTGAGAATATGGTAGGTGGGATTGAAATTTGGACTGTTCTGGGTGGGACAATAGAGGGGAACAGGTGTGTTTTGTTAAACAACTGATTATATCGAGTCTCGTGTTGCTGGGGATTTTTGCTGACTGAATTTGCCACTCGTGACTTTTAGGGCGTACAAAAGATGTCTTCTCATTGCAGTTCAGGAGGTAAGGCCGAGGAGAGGGCTGGCGAGTGTTGTCGCTCGCTCGTCTTTTCCCCATGGAATCAGGGGAGGAAGATCACGATGCCGTCTGTGCGGATGTCGCGAACGGCGATAACACGTGCGAAGTGCACGAAACTGGTAACGATGACGAAGTCGATGACGACGAGCTGGACGATCTTCTCGAGTCGTCGTTCCAGGAGCACTGCCGCGACAAGCTAGCCACCAAAGATTCCAATCTAGCCGTTAAAAATTCCAATCCTACCATCGATAGGTCAACCGCATGCCGCATCGCCACAAATGGTCCAAGACTCCAATCTGGCGTCCACAACATAGATACCATCCCGGCCCGTATTCTTGTGACGAGTGCAGTTGGGCTCGGTTCTGGGCGTCACGGTGGCAGTATAGGATTGGTAGATGGGCGTAGCGTGCAAGACACGCCAGGTTTCGCCGCTGCTAAGAGTAAACCACGGGGAGTTTTCTCTGGTCCTACTGCTGCTGTTCCTGGTGCTGGTGGTGATTCTGGTACTGCTGTTGCTGCTGCTGCTTCTAGCGCTGCTGCTTCTAGCGCTGCTGCTGCTGCTGTCGACAACAGAGCAATATGGTCGAAATCCTTTCCTTCTGATTCGGCGTTGACCGCGTCTGTTGACGCGCCTTCCGAGAATCTGGACCGTCCAAAGATCTCCTTCGCATTTCCCGGATGGGTGGTCGAGATCAGCCGGCCGAAAGAATCGACGGTCGTGATGGACAGCGCGAGCGGGGCGCGAAGGGGGGAGAAGAATAGAAGGGGAGAGAAGCGAAAGAGAAGGGCCAGGGAAGCACCAGAGGGGACGGAGGAGGGGAAAGAGAAGGAGGGGTTGGAGAGGGAAGAGGAGGAGGAGAGAGAGGAGAGGGAGGAGAGGGAGGAGAGGGAGGAGAGAGAGCGAGCATGGATGGGTGTGGAGTTAGGGGGCAAGGTCCCTCTGCTTTCCCTTCCTCAGGAGATTCTGATAATGCTTTGTGCCAGGGTTTCCTGGCGAGACTTATGCACGCTTAGGTAAGCAAATGAATTATTCCAAGTGTTGACTAGGTGAGCACTTTAGTCACTCTTAGGTAAGCGTCTGATATCGCTTAGGTAGCTGCCGTACCTTGGATTATCGTATCACTCTCATTTATGTATGCTCACTTGCTTTCCCTCTCACGTCCTCCCAGGGTTACATCTAAAAGCGTACGGGATCAACTGGAGAGAGATGACATCTGGGCGGCGGCAGCAGCAGAGGCGAGCAGACAGGGCGACATAAAAATGCCCAGAGCACGGAAAACCTTTGCAGGTTTGGGAACTGTGATTAGCGGGCAGGCGTTAAGCGGGGAGGCGTTAAGCGGGCAGGCGTTAAGCGGGCAGACGATAAGCGGGCAGGCATTAAGCGGGAGCAGGCGGGCGCTAGGCGGGGAGACGATAGGCGGGCAGGCGATAAGTGGAGGAGACGCAATAAACACTAGTGGGGGAGATGAGGGCATCATAGGGGAGGGCGCAGCAGAGGCGTGGTGGCAGCAGCACCTGCAGGCGCTGCAGCAGCAGCAGGCAGGCATGCCCATGTGAGTATCCTCGTTGACCATTTCAGAAAGAGGGTAAATGTCAAATGGGCAGACGATTAGTGGACAGACAAGCGAGCAGACAAGCGAACACTCGATAAGCGGAGACGCAATAAACACTGGTGGTGGAGATGAGGGCATCACAGGGGAGGGTGCAGCAGAGGCGTGGTGGCAGCAGCACCTGCTGGTGCTGCAGCAGCGGCAGTAGGCAGGGATGCTGCATCGTCTGCTGATGGCCATGTAAGCCTGAAATTCGGCCTCGTCAGGTGGTCCAGCTCTGCTTTGAGGCGCCTCAAAACTAGACTCTTCAAGTGCGTTAGATCCTGTGTCGAAGCGTTTTTTCCCTTTCGTACTGCTGCGTGTGGTTAAGGCCAGGACTTTTCGAGAAATCAATTCGGCGTTGGTCCATGCCACCCTGCTCATTTTCCACCCCCTTTACTGGCGCTCCATTGAAGTCACTTGCCCTGTCGTTGCTGCATCCAAGTTTCAACTCCATCTCCCTTACTGGCTTTTCCTTTTGGGAGTAAATATGATTTTTCGACCCATATCTTGTCACACATGCTATCGGTTGCCACTAATCTCTGGCAACCCGAATTTATTCTTTATACCATTTACAGGCACTCCCTGTTCAAGTCGCTGGTGCTGTCATCTCGCATTAGAGAGAGGCTCCACGTGCTGTCGCTTGCCTTTGACGTCCTTCAAAGCACCCCTGGACAGGTGGTGGGGGGATGAGTGGTCCAAGTTGTTGAGTCACCACCACGTTATCCTTTCCTCCTTCATCCCCCTTACAGGCACTCCCTATTCAAGGCACTGGTCGCTCCTGTCATCTCGCATCAGGGAGTAGCTGCACGTGCTGTCGACGGCCTTCTACTTTCAAGAATCAATTGTCCGTTCCTCATCCCCTTTACAGGCACTCCCTGTTCAAGGCACTGGTGCTGTCATCTCGCATCAGGGAGAAGCTGCACGTGCTGTCGCCTGCCTTTGACTTCCTTCAAAGCACGTTGGACAGGTGGTGGGCAGATGAGCGGGACCGGCATGAGAAGTTGGGCGGGCAGGGGCAGGATCGTTGGGCGAGTGACCCAGTAGTGAAGGGGGCTGTTAGGGAAGGTAGGGAAAGGAGGAAGAGTAGCAGCAGTGGGAGTTGTGGAAGGCGGGGTTTGAGAGGTGGGCGTGGAGGAAGGTGGGTTGTTGGCAATGTGAGGGAGGCAGAAGGAGAGAACTATAACGCGGATGGAAGCAGAAGGGGCAGAGAAAGGGGTTGTGGTGATAGGATGAGATGGATTCGGGCAGCAGCGAACACAACTGAGGCAGAGGCAGAGGCAGAGGCAGAGGCAGCAGCCACAGCAGCAGCAGTGCGTTTCTCACAGTCCGTAGCAGGGGAGGCAGCAGGTGAATCAGCAGCTGCTGCTGCAGCGGATGCAGTTCAAACAAAGGCAGGGACAGCAGCAAACACAGCTGCAGCAAATCTACCAGAGCCTGGAGGTGAAGCAGCATGTGAAGCAGCAGGTGAAGCAGCGAATACAGCTGAGGCTGAGGTAGTGGCAGCAGCCGCAGCCCCAGCAGAGCATTTGTCACAGTCAGTAGCAGAAGACGCGGCAGCAGAAGCAGCAGCTGCAGCCGCATCTCTTCTGGCCGAAGCTCTTCTGGACTATCCCCTGCTGTCGCTGCTGCCCTTTGTGCGCGATGGTGGGGCAAAGGAGGGGGACGAGGGGGCGGAGGAGGATGGGGGGGACGATGAGGAGGGGGATGGGGAGGATGAAGAGGAAGAGGAGGGGGAAGAGGGGGAAGAGGGAGAAGAGGGGGAAGAGGGGGAAGAGGATGGAGAAGAGGGGGAAGAGGAAGAGGAGGGAGAGGAGGATGAGGAAGCAGAGGACACGGATGAGAGAGAGGAGGACTCAGCGCCACAGGAGGAGGATGAGATGGATCTGAGTAACGTGCAGGCGCATGACTCGGACGCTGTGAGGAGAGCGCTGAAGAAACTCACCAATTACAACTGGGCCGTGGTGTATGAGGCTCTGGCCGTGGTGTTTGGCGTGAGGACGGAGAGGATAGCATGGGAAGTGATTAAAGGGGCAGATGAGAAGTGGGCCATAGGGATGGGGGCCGGGGAGAGGAAAAAGTTTGAGTGGCAAGGAGGGAAAGGGGCTGGGGGGGAAGAAGAGGAGAAGAGGAAAGAAGGATTGGTGATGCGGGGTGAGGAGGTTGAGGGTGAGGTGAGGCGTGAGGGCGGAGGGAGTGAGGGTGGAGAGAGTGGGTGGGTTGAGATGCGTGAGAGAGATGCAAGGGGGGGAGCACTGGCAGAAGGAGGGGAGGAAGGAATAGGAAGAAGGGGAAAGGGAGAGGGGAGAGTAGTGGGTGGAGGGGGAGGAGGAGAAGGAGACAGAGTAGGAGGGAGTGGAGGAGAGGAAGTAAAGAAGGATGAGGAGTGGGAGGAGTGGGATAGGGAGTGGGCAATCGAAGATGCGGAGAAAGTGGGCCGCCTGCTGGTTGGAGGAAAGAGGAAGAGGGGAGGGGGTGAAGGCAAGGAAGCGAATGAAGGGAGGGGCGTGAGTGATGGGAGGGGGATGAAGTTACGGCGTGAAGGGGGAATTTGGGGTGAGGTGGCAGCTGCAACGGGGAAGAGGGCTACTGTGAACGGTTTTGAAGGGAGCCAGGAAGGGTCGCTTGATCCCGAAGTACCAGGTGAACTGCACCAAAGGGAACCACGACAGATGGAGGCTAAAGAGAAAAGAAGTGAGGAGCGGAGTGAATGGAAGAAGCAGCGAGTGGGTGCCTTGGGCGTCACTCCTGCCTCTTTTGCTGGTAATGGATCAGCTAGTAGTAACGCGCTCCCATGGAAGCCCGCTACCTGCTCCAGTACCGGAGAAGCTAGTTACGCGGATAGGGAGCTTTCAGCGCCTAGCAAGGCACAGACGAAGGTTGAAGTGGCGGTGAATCTGTGGGAGTGCCTGCTGCAGCGGTGGGTGGTGTACAGGAGGTGGCTCAAGCTAGTGGCGCTGCACTGCCCGAATTTGCAGTTCGAAGTGATGATCGAGCGAGCGAGGTGAGCTTTCTAAGAGTAGCTGCATTCAATGGCGTGTCTTAGGGGGCGAGGCGGGTTTGGAGAAGCGAGGTGGGGGTGATGGTAGAGAGGGCGAGGTGAGCTGCCTAAGAGTCGCTGCATGGCTCTGTGGTGTGTCGTAGGGGGCGTGTGCATGGCGACCAAACAACCATGACTATTCCTGACGGAAGGAGCCGGGCTGAGGTGAGAGAGAGTTATGCGGCAAACGGATGTTACATTTCGGTTAAGGTGTTACCTTTACCTAGTGCGCATTAGCTTGTACTCATCAGACTGTCGTGTATTATCCCTCGCCTTGTGAGTCTCCCCTCTCACGTCCCCACTCGTTTGAGTCACTTCATTGCACTCACTCTCACTCTCTCTCCTTTTGCCACCCCCCATTGCACCCATGTTTCCCCCTTCAGGTCGAACCATCATTTAGCCACACCAATTATTTAGCCATTTGACCATCGTTTCGAACCATCATTTCGGCGCCTCAAGAATAGACCCCTGGTTACATTCTGTCTGCTTCCCATTGCACCCATGTTTCCCCCTTCAGGTCGAACCATCACTCGGCCACTCCAACAGTCTACGACAAGGGCCTCATCAGCTTCAGGTACTGCCTTCCCTTCGCCTTGATGTCCCCGTGAAGCACCTGCAGCAAACACAACTGACATTCCTCACCACACCCACAGTTTGTTCCCACACGCTGCACGCCTCTCCCGTATTATAAAAAACTCCCTTGATTTGTTTCAGTCTCCCGTTCAGCTTCTTTTTCCCCTGCCGTCTGTTCCCTTCTCACCTTCTCAGGAGCAGCGTTCTCCTAGCTTTTGGCCTGCGCCGGATGTTTCAAGATTCACTTCTTAACTCTCATTGATGCTGCCATGCTGCCGTTACGCCTCTGCTTCCCTCCTGCTCGTTCGCTCCCTTTGCATGCCTCTCCTGTATCCCACCAGGAGCAACGTCCTTTTGGCCTTTGGCCTGCGTCGTCGGTTTCAAGAGTCGCTTCTTGCTCTCATTGATGCTGCCCATGCTGCTTTTTACGCCCCTGCACGCCCCGCTTCGGCTTCAAGTGTCCCCGCAACTGCTGCTGAAACTGCTCACCTGATCGTGCTGCTGCAGCAGATTAAGCATCTCTTTCAGGTAAGAGTGGGAATTTTCCGGCTTCAAGCGTCCCTGCAACTGCGGCCAAAACTGCTCACCTTATCCCGCTGCTGCAGCAGATTAAGCATCTCTTTCAGGTAAGGGTGAGAATTTGGGGCGATGCCATTGTTCCTGTGCCGTTTACAACTCAACCTAACCCGACACCATTTCCCTCACATCCTCCACCCCTCCACCTCTCCACCCACCTCTCCACCTCCCCATCCCTCCACCCCTCCACCCCTCCACCTCTCCACCTCTCCACCTCCCCACCTCTCCACCACTCCCCACAACGCATCCATGCAACCCCTCCCTCCGCATCCCACACAGCAGCTAGCTGATGCCACCCGCCCAGAGTTGCTCTCTAATCAGCCAAACCCTCCACCTGTACCGCACCCCTCGACGTAACCCATCCATGCAACCCCACTCTCTGACACGACACCAATGCTGGATGCGCGTGGCAGATGATGGCACACTCACTGCTCTCGTCGCACACACCTCACACTCAATCATGCATGCATGGGCATGCGAGTCCTACCCCATCCATTCAAACCCGCTCTCTCACCCGACAGACATGCCAGCTGGGCATGGCAGACGATGACACCATCTTCTCGCCTCTACTCAGCCGAACCCCACACCCTCACCCCACCCCTCCCCACAACCCCTCCTTGCAACGCCTCCCTCTGCACCAACCCATGCCACCTCTGTGGCAGGTGGTGCTACCCTGCTCTCGACATATCCGAAACCCCACACCCGCACCCCACCCCTCCCCTCAACCTGTGAATCCATACAGCCCTTTCCCCTCCCCCCCACCCCCCACCCCCCCCCCCCCCTTACACACACTATTGCCACCTGTTTCACACCCCTCCCCACTTCCCTCTCACCCCTCACAGGAGCTGGGCGTGGCAGCTAATGCCACCCTCCGCCCCATCACACCCACCCACCCATAGCCCCCCAACCCCCTCCTCCCCCCCCCACCCCACACATGATTGCCACCTGTTTTGCACCCCTCTCCACATCCCCGTCACCCCCCACAGGAGCTGGACGTTGCAGATGATGCCACCCTCCCTCTTGTCACGCACACTCAGGGCAAGTTCCGGCGCTGCTTCTGCACCCTGCTTAAGAAAGAACTGCCACCTGGCCTCTTAACTAGGCGCCGCCGGCCCTCGGCCGCACACTCTGCTGTTGCTGTTCGCTCTGATGCTGCCGGCGGTGCGTATGCTGGTACACAGATGGCCTCGGGTCATAATAATGGGGATAACAGAGGTATTTGCAGTGAGCCAGTGGGCAGTTGGTCTAGGAGTAGCCGCTGCAGGCGGTACAAGTTATTCCTATCAAAGCGAAGGGGGTTACAGAAAGTATATGGAAATTCGAAGTATTGAGTGTTATGTGTAAAAACGGATTGGCTTGCAATGCAGAATGTGTAGCATTTGTCTATCATGGCATGCTTCCTTGGTGGATTGACAAGTGGAGCATGCCACTGCCACCACCATGTGGGCCTTGATTAAAACCACAGGCTAAAATAGCAAAGGGGGAGCTTTTAGTGAGCCACTTGTTAGAAAGAGAGAATGATTGACTAGTGTGAGAAACCTAGAATATATACCTGTTGGGGTTGTACTCACTAGAAGCACACACATAGGCTAGCCTATAACTTCTACATACAGCATATGTATAAGTTGACACACCTCCTAGGCTAGAGAAGGGGTGGTGTTAAGCAAGAAGCACACATCTCAGGGTGGCACTACTAGTCCAACCACTGAGGTAAGGGTCCTGAGACCAGTCAACAAGAGTACAAGCAAGACTAAAGCAAGCCAGGGCGGCACTACTAGTCATGCCACTGGAGGTAAGGCCACAAGGCCAGTCAGACAGGTATATTTAATAGAGAATACACAATCAGGGTCCTAACAGGTGAGTAGCTACAGGAACAAGACCAAGCTGTACACAGTGTCGCTGATGATCTTTAGGCGCAAGCGCCTTAGTAAAGATATCAGTTGTGTTGGCACCTGAGGCCAAGTGAACTACGCGGGCCTGGCGACACTACTGTAGCTTGCGCAGGAGGAAGTACCGCAGATGGATATGCTTCGCTCTGCCCTCAAGCCGAGGCTCCTGACACAGGAGAATCATGGCCCTGTTGTCAGCGTACAGGACCGGGGCAGAGCTAGGCTGTTCACCTAAGTCTGTGAGCAAGAAGGTCAGCCAGCGGAGCTCCTGTGCCGCCATGGCACCGGCGTAGATCTCAGCCTCACAGCTGGACTGAGCAACAGACGACGAGCGAGTGGATCTCCAAGCGATAGCACCCGAACCAAGGCTAAAATTGTAGCCGTGAGACGACCTGAGTGTCTCAGAGTCGTCTGCCCAAGAAGCGTCTGTGTGCCCAGTGAGGACCACCGGCCTGCGTCCTCCTAGCACTAACCCCATGCCTGATGTACTTGCTAGATATCGCAAAACCCTCTTAGCGGCCGACCAGTACTGTGGTCGGTGTCTGCCAGTGGCCACAAAGCGAGCCAGGATGCTGAGAGGGTATGCGAGATCTGGGCGAGTGCAAGTCATCAGGTACATGAGGCAACCCACCAGCTCTGCGTAAGGACCGTTGGGCTCTACTTGCTCCTCAGGAACGGGAGCGGAGAGCCCATGGTCTACAGGTAGAGGTGTGGGCTGTGCGGAGGAAAACTGAAAACCGAACCTCTGAAGGACCTGACGCACCAAGTGTGACTGTGTCAGAGTGATGGTGCGTGCTGCTCTGTCCCTAGAGATCTGCAGGCCAAGATAGCGACGCAGCTCTCCAAGGTCAGTGCAGGTGTGTCTCTTCAGCAGCTCGGCCTTCACGGAGGCCAGTGCGTCCCTGTCAGCAGTAGCGAAGACCAGGTCGTCTACGTAGACAAGGATGTAGAACGGAGTCAGCCATCGTGCAGGGTCAGCGACACAGGGACACAGCGGCACAGCTCCATAGGACATAGCGGCACAGCTCCACAGGACACAGCGGTACAGGGACACAGCAGTACAGCTCCAGGGGGACGTCGGCAGGACGCTCCGGCGCTGGCAAGCAGAAGACACAAGGCCGTTGACCCGAGGAACCATGCCTAGCAGAAGACACGGAGCTGCTGGAGCCGGGCTGGCACTGGGAAGGGCGGGCGCAACAGGCCGGGCGGGCGTGAGAAGGGGCCAGGCGGGCGCTAGGAGGGGCCGGCTAGGAGCGGGCGCAAACGGCCGGGGGGGGGGGGGGGGGGGGGGGGGGCGGCTAGGAGCGGGCGCGACGACCAGGGCGCCGGCTAGGAGCGGGCGCGACGACCAGGGGGTCGGCTAGGAGCGGGCACGAACGGCCAGGGGGCCGGTTAGCATCGAGCGCGAACGGCCAAGGGGCCGGCTAGGAGCGGGCGCGACGGCCAGGGGGGCGGGGGGGGGGGGGGGGCGGCTAGGGGCGGATGCAGCGGCTAGGGGGCCAGCTAAGGGCGGGCGCGACGGCCAGGGGGCCGGCTAGGGGCGGACGCGATGGCCAGGGGGCCAGCTAAGGGCGGACGCGACGGCCAGGGGGCCAGCTAGGGGCGGGCGCGACGGCCAGGGGGCCGGCTGAGACAAATAACAATTAGAATGATACAAACATATTGGTTTTGTCTAAGGAGTTGTACCCTCTAAGAGTACGCACCTATCTAGCCTATAAGACATTTGGAAATATGTTTGACACACCCCCTGGGCTAGATAAGGGGCAGTGCCTAACAAGAAACACACAGCTCATGGTGGCACTACTAGTCCAACCTCTGAGGTAGGGGTCCGAAGACCTGTCAGCAAGAGTGCAAACGAAACAAGAGCAATCCAGGGCGGTACTGTTAAATTATATAAATTATTATAGGCTTGGTAGATGTTACTGAACATTACTGTAGAGGGTACAACACCCCTCCTTGTATCCCTCTCTCTTCTTTCCTGGTTCTCTTTTCTCTCGTCAAACTTCACGCCTACCTCCTAGATCTAGATCTCACGCCATATTCATGGCTTCACCTATTCCTACCTAGCCTATCTTCTCGACAGGTACTACTAGTCCAGCCACTGAGACAAGGGCCACAAAGCCAGATAAGATAATATTAAATAGTACACAATCAAGGTCATAGCAAGTGAGGAGCTACTAGAACTAAACCAACCTATACACAGTGCCACTGATGATCTTTAGGTGTAAGCGCCTTCGTAAAGTTATAAGCTTTGTTGGCTCCTGAGGCCAAGTGTACTACGCGGAGGAGAACTGAAGGCCGTACCTCTGAAGGACCTGACACACCAAGTGTGACTGGGTCAGAGTGATAGTGCGTGCTGCTCTGTCCCTGGAGATCTGCAGGCCAAGGTAGTGGCGCAGCTCTCCCAAGTCAGTGCAGGTGTGTCTCCTCAGCAGCTCAGCCTTCACGGAGGCCAATGCATCTCTGTCTGCAGTAGCGAAGACCAGGTCGTCTACGTAGACAATGTTGTAGAACAGGGTCTGGCCAGCAGGAACGAAGAGTGAATGGTCTGCAGACGATGGGAAGAACTGCAAGTCAGCTAGCGTAGCATGCAGCATATCATGCCACTCACGAGGCGCCTGCCGTAGGCTGTATACTGGGCGCCGGAGGAGCCACTGGGTCCCAGGAGCGAAGGTACCGGTGAAGCCCTATGGACGGCGCAGGTAGACCTTCTCGTGTAGGCTGCCCTTGAAGAAGAGCAGTGGAGAAGTCGAGGGAGTGTAACACATAGTCACGCTGTGCTGCTATATGTAGAAGCACCCGAAGAGTAGTCATCTTCAGGGTCAGGGTGAAGGTTTGAAAGAAGTCCACATCCTCGCGCTGACTAAAGCCTCTAGCCACGTAGCGCGCCTTGAACACAGGCGGCTCTCCAGGGGGGCTCTTCATCTTCATCTTGAAGAGCCACCGGCCATCGATTACGTTCACCCCAGGTGAGGGAACTGCGTCGATATAGGTGCCGGTGGATCTCCAAGATGCCACCTCCTGCTCCATAACAGCTATCCAATGAGAGACCCAGAGTCCTGACGTCGACTTAGCGTAAGTGAGAGGGGTTAGGATGTCAAAGGCGTATGGGTCCCCCTCAGGGACTAGCAGCATAGAGTAGAGATGAGGTGCGGCCTCGAACAGGAAAGCAAGCTTGTGCTACCGGTCCTCTATGATGTCACTGCCAAGGGCAGGAGCACCCCCGACGGAGAGAGGACAGACAGGGTCAAAGACCAGAGCGGTGGCATAGTCAAGGCAACGGGTAGAGGCGAAGTCAGCGATGGAAGCGACGAGAGCGTCAAGTCTCGAGACAGGAACGGACGGGTCGGTAACGAGGGAGGCAAGGACCCGAGGAACAGGAGGACTAGCGGCACGAAGGTAGTCAAACAGCCGAGGCGGAGCAACAACAAGCGAGGACAGAGAAGGCAACGGGAGGAGGGGAGGACGAGATGCGTGGGAATGAAGCAACATAGGGTGGGAGCGCTGAACATGGGAGACAGGACGAGCACGGGAGGGACGGTGAGACCAGATGTGAGACGAAGGTGTCAGGTCCGGAGACAGGGGAGGAGACATAGGAGACGAGACGTAGATGAGTCCGCCAGAGGAAAGACAGGGCCGTGGATAGGCAGGGGAGGCGACGGCGGGGGAGGGAGGGAAGGCCGAGGAGGCGAAGGGCGGACAGCGGCGGCGACTGCGTCTATTGCTGTCGCTGCTCCACGCTAACACCGAAACCTCGAGCTGCACCACGGCTACCTCCAAGACACTCCACGCCAACACCGCTGGGACAAGCCATGACAGTAACCCCAGGACTAGCACCCCCAGAACCAACACCCCCAGAACAAGAAACCTCTCTAGAACCAGTGCCACTCCCGAGACCGTCGAGACGAGCCACAACAGTAACCCCAGGACTAGCACCCTCCCCAACCATTACACCCCCAGAACTCACGAACCCCGGTGGCTGCTGCTGCAACTGCGATGGCGACGATGGCTGCTGCGGCTGCGGCGGAGGAGGAGGGGACACCCAGGCGAAGATAGGCGGCGAAATGATGCCCCGGAAGTCTGCCGACTCCTCAATCAAGACAAGTGACGGGAGGGAAGTGATGTGTGACACACCAGATGGGGCAGGACGAGGAGGGGGAGGGGCAGGGGCTACTGGGAGAGTGGGAACCAGAAACAGGGGTGGGGAAACTGGGAGATCTCGGTGGGGAAAGCGATGGTAGAAGGAGACAAACTCGTCAAAATTGACGTCACACGAGTGCAAGAAGCGGTGAGAAGGCGGGTGGTAGAAGTGCCAGTCAGACGTGTCAAGGGGGAAACCAAGGAAGACATAGGGGACAGTGCACGCAGTGAGCTTGTTCGTGCCAGAGGCACGAACCTGAGCAAGGCAGCCCCAGACGTGGAATGCAGACCCGTCACCAGGGAACTGGGTCCAGAGAAGGGTTGGCGAAACCTGCGGCCGCTAG